CCTTTTTTCCAGAACTAGGTGTGAATCCAGAGGTTATAAAAACATAATTTGTACTTCACTTGTCAGTCAGTGAAGGAAGGAAGGAAGGTATTGCGTTCAGTTGATTCAGTTCCACATATGTTTTCCTCCACCTAAGATGATTTAATTTTTCCTTAATAAAATAATTCAGGAAACCAGTCCTGGAAGCTGTTGCATAAAACCTTTCCAACTGAAGTGAATGGTAATGTTAGATAACAATTTAACAAGAGAATAATGTGCACAGCTAGAAAGTTGGTAAGGAGAAGATAAAATACTAGAACCTAGGATCATCCAGTGAAACTGAATGCTGGGACATAAGTGAAAGGATACATGGACACACAGTGTAGCTGAACTATGGAGTTTTCCTGTAGAGAATGTGATGATGGCAGCCAGTGCAGATGGCTTTTAAATTCAGTTAGGTAAATCCTTGATGGAAACATCAATTGGCAGCTACCAGTCATGACAGACAAATGCTACTGCCAGGGTCAGAAGACAGCTTGCTTGTGGGCTTCGTGGTGTTATCATATTAGGCTGTTGTGGGATGGATGGTGCTGAATTAGTTAGACCTTTGGTCTGATCAAGCGGGTTCCTGTTATGTGCATTTATAGCACAAAGGTTACCAGGAAACTATGGGTTCCTGTTTTATATGCATTTACAGCACAAAGGTTCCCGGGAAATGATAATGTAGAGCTTGGGGCAGTAGGGAGAGGCAGGGTAACAAGAGCTGAATATGAGCAAATATGGGGGAGGGAGCACTGTAAAACATATTTCTCATATTAGTTGTGACATTTACCAAGTGATTTGTCATGTACCGCAGTAATCTAACTCCTTCGGAAACATGATCCATTCTCTGGTTTTCCCAAGTTGTAAGCATCTTGTCACATCCTAGCAAAGCTATGACATTTTCCACAGTCTTTGACAAGACAGTTCAGTGGGTACTTCACAAATGTGAAGTAAGTAGTAGATCACCACCTGGTGAATGGTGATTTGTGTTGACATGATCTCTTTGACCTATATTTACTTACATACAGCTCTCATTATCCTTACCTCTCTCCACTGCTGAGGTTGCCAGCTCCCTGGAATGGCTCACTGTGCAATGTACCATATACACAATGGATGGTAGATAAAGAGGAAAAGGAATGTATATGCCCAGACCCCCAGTTACGAACGTCCAAGTTAAGAACAGCTCCAACTTGTGAATGGGCAAACCCAGAGGTCCCTGAGCAGCAAGTGGATGCCTGCTGTGCCAGCTGCAGTGAGGGGCAAGGAGAGGAAGGAAGAAAGGAAAGGGAAGGAAGAGGCGGGGGAAAAAACCCTGAGCGTCAGTGTCGGAAATAGTTCCTCAGTTGCAGAAGAACTGTAGTGGTTTTTCAAGCTCATTAAAAACTAGTGCATCCAAGCCAGTATGTTTCAGATCAAGTGGAGTTAGTGACAATCGAGACAATTTTAAAAGGTCATCATCCAGTGAATGTTAGGCTTAATGTTACCTTAAGAAGTGTTAACCTATACATCTTTTTACTATTTTTCTGCCTTTCTGTCTAAACTGTTTAAAGAACTGTACTGTACTCGTATATCAACACTCATCCAGATTCTTTCTCTCTCTTGTTCTCTGTAGTTTATTATTAAAATTCTGTATTGTGTTTAAGATGTTTTGATGTATATGCAAGTGTTTTATATGTTTTTATATACATGATCCAACTTAGATACCAATTGGACTTAAAGATGATCTTGGGAAGAGTACTCATTTTTAGTTTAGGGACCCAGTGTACTTTCTTCTTTATTTCAAGTTTACAGGTGAATGACAGTCCTTAGTTCCAGCATTTATAGAAGTACAAATAATCTTCAGGAGACTTTCCACCTGGTGAGCCCAAATGCTGACTGGGATGCTTATAAATGGGGTAGGACATCTTATGGCCAAGGGAATGGAATGGAGTATGGTAGAAGACAACCTGGTTGGATGGAGCAGCGAACAGGAGCATTTCACGCTGCACTGTTTTGTTGTGATCCTACCAGTTCTGTTCCAATTCCCAACATACTGGAAAACTAGATGGATAGTCATAACATCATGCTTTACTTTAAGGGTAACTGCCAGGTCCAAATAGAGTGGCCTGTTGCCATGACTGGGCAGAGGCCATGGACTGAAATGTTAATTTGTTTGGGGTATGGGACCTTCAAGGTGTGCCTGGTGTTACTGGACTGAGCCAGTCAACAGCTGGGGCAAACCCGGGTGGACCCCAGACCTGAGCCAAACAGAGCCTGAGACGAGACTTAGAGCCAAAATCAGCTTTATTCTAGAGCACTATAGAATAAAGGAACACAAAAGGGGACATTCAGCCCAAAGCATGTCTCAAAAGTTGCACCCCAGTACATGCGCTTTATACCCTAGGTAACCAATTAGGTCACCTAATACACATCTAATACATCGATACATCAATGTATGCACCCCCTCCTATGCTGGAGAAAGAGTCCTTTCTTCTTTCAGGGACCAGACATTTCCCATGTTTATTTCTTGTCTGCTCAAGATTCACACAGGCTTGCCATGTTCTTACTCCCTGCACATTTGCAACTTTCATGGCGGCTAGAGCCAGTTTCCACTATCCCTTTGATTACCGTATTCGAGGTCAGGCTAGCGTGTTAGCTGTGGGTTACACAAAGTTCATTTTGATCTTATCTTCCCTCCCTTCTGGGACAGTAAATGTGGTGTTTTTACCATGTGGCCTTCCTCTGGCCTCTCTCTGGCCATTACTCTTGGGGTGTTTTGGGGTGCTGCAATTGGTAACACTGGTATGCTACTGTCACAAGACGTGTTCTCTATTCCAGATTGAACCTTTCAATGGTGGTAGCTTGCACATGGTAGGGATGTTATGAGTGGAGCTGGCTGGAGTCGGGGGTCAGACTAGATGATCCAGGAAGCCAATTCTGACTCACTTTGTTTCTATGTTTGTTAAATTATTATACTGCTTCATAGATTATTCAAAAATATGATTCTAAGGGCTTGTGCTTTTTCCAGACTTCTTGTCTTCTTGAATCAAATTTGAGTGGAAACTCTTGAGTATTTTGAGGCATGAAAGATAAGTTCACTATCATCATACAGCAGATTTCCAGGAAAAATCACAATATCAGCTGAACTATGACTTCATGTTTTTGAGCCAGATAAGACCATTTAAATCACCTTTGTCTTCCCAATCACAGAAATAAATAGAAATGCAAAATTCACTACTTGAGGAACAGAATTTTAAAGAGTCTACAACTGAATTGGTTTCATTTTGACCCGGAAGATCCATTTCATTTTGACAGCTAGCCTTAGCAGCTTGGAGCAGGACAGTGGACTCTCTAATTAGATAATTTTTCCATTCATCTAGTACAGGGTTATGAACGAGTTCCACTCCTGAAAAAATGGAAATTCATCTTTAAATTGAATTTATATGTAAGTTTGATCAAATTTAGTTGGCCTTCCACATTTGGGATAAGGAGCACAGTACCTTCATGAAAGAAGAAAAATTGCAAATATCTTTAGCTACCTGCCAAACTCACCAGAGGGATTTCCCTCTCTGCATGAGCCAGACAGGAAGGCATGCTTTGGAGGCCTCGCTGTCTATCCTCGATCTCCATCCTCTCTCTCTGTGGTGATGCTTTGGAGGTGCTTCCTCCCTTCCTCTCTCTGGTGGGGATGATTTTCCTCAGTAATCCTTTTAAAAAATACAGACTGTGTGGCAGTTTGTATATTTGGGTTCGTAACTCAGACATTCATAATTTGGGGGCTGCCTGTATATTAGCTCTGAATCTACAGGTGATAAATTAAAAATAAAGAAATTATATCCTGAGCCTGCATCCTTCTCTAGGGAGTTCCAGGTTTTCTTCAGTGTATTTCTCCCAGTCCAGAAAACTCTGTCTTACCTGTCCCATTGGCCTGAAATTTGTTTATAAATTGGTCACCTGTATCTTCCCCCTTTACAATCTGGATGGTGTTTTTCCATGTATTTCCTATGCTACATCAGGCCCAGGAGAAGATCTCATGCACATTTGCAGCAGGAATGTCAGAGAACTTTGGCTGAGAGAATGTGTGAGCCACATGCATCTGGATCCCTAGGCAGCTGATTAATTAGCCTTATTCTTAGCGACTGCTAAAAGATTAGAGGAAAGCTCCTAAAACTATTGCTATAGAGCAATGTGGCTGATGAACTGATTGTAGTGGCTGGTTCAACTGCTGCCTTTCTGTAACTGTCACTTTTCATGTTGTCAACACAAAATTCTAAGAATTATATGTCATAGAATCTACTGACTGTTACAGTTACCTCACACTTGAGAGTAAGGCTTTCCCCTGTAATTCTCAGGAATTTTTCAGGCTATATGTGTAGAATATTGGTTTCTTAATTGAGCAGGGGGTTGGACCTGCTGGCCTTCTTGGCCCCTTTCAACTCTACTGTTCTATGCTTCTCTACTATTCTAAGGTTCCTGCCTGCCGTATTGCATGTATATTGTCAATCTGCCCCACTTGTGCATAGCACTTAAGGGTTTGATGATACATTGAGAGATGTGTCATGTCTGGATTGAAATGCAATGCAAAGGTTGCATTTGGCTCATCAAGTTATTAAGGCCTCGGCAATTATAGGCAGCCTATAAATACAAACAAGCAAACACAAATAAATAAATGTACTACCTACCAGCTTGCTGTCTTTATTAAATGACTTCCCATCAACATATTTTCTCTGGCAATTAAAAATCAACAACTACTATTATATCCAGGAGAAAAGTGACCAATTTGGACTTCAGATGGAAAAGCTTAACTATATGAAACTTGCATATTTTGTCCTACAAATGCTGAACTATCTGACCAAAAACAAATGGGGACAAGAGCATGTTGCTTATTCAACTGGTAGAGTGGATCCATCATAGACAATGATCCTAGCAGCTGAAATCATCAAGTGTGTGTTTTGAGTTTTGGGGAGAAAGCCAACATTTTCCTCTTTTGTCTTTGGTAGAACCAGCTCCTTGTGAAAGGTCTGCTGTTCGTAGAGGAGAAAGTTAAGCTTTCAGAAGGTAAGTAGAGCGAGTCTGTTTTGTGGAAGGGCTTTGGGCTAACTGTCATTTTTTGAGGCTTGGGTTGCTGAGATCGATTTGTGGGGGGAAAAGCACCTCTGAGTCACATGGGTAAGAACACAATCTTGTGCATCTTGAGATGGATAAAAAGAACTCTTGGAATTACAAGTCTTCTTCTAAACAGGCATAGGAAAACACCCCAAGTGTGTTAAGATCCTGCTATGCACAAGCAACAGAACTGGCTCTTGATACTATTGGGTTAGAACAAGGATGAAGTGACTCAACTTGATCAAAAAAAAAAGAATGCAAACAATCTAGTGGTCATCTACATACAATGCAAGTGCATGGTTCCACTTGTTAATCTGCATATCCTTATAGTCATGAGATGATGACTCATAATTCCATTTTTCCCCAGGATTTCTGAATAAAAACCAATGGTAAATTCCTTTCTATCTACTTGACAGAACAATTAAGATAACCAGCTTACCATGTGGTTATGTTGTTATTTGCTGTCAGATCTTCTCCAGTGTATGGCAACCCTATGACTGAATGCTGTCCAAAATGTCTTGCCCTTGATAGCCTTGTTCATACCTTGTAAACACAGGACTGTGACTTCCTTTATGGAATTGATCCATCTCATAGTTGGTCTTCCTCTTCAGCCTTAAATTTTCCCTTGCATCATTGTCTTCTCCAGTGAGCCTTGCCTTCCCATGATGTGTCAGAAGCACAACAGTTTTGCCCAGTTTTGTCATTTGTGCTTACGGAGAAAGTTCTAGCTTGATTTGATCTAAGACCCACTTGTTTTCATGGAAATTTACTGTTTAGCAAATGTCATCTTTGTTCACCCAATGTTAACTTGGTGGTGGAAAAAGTTGCCCAGCTAATGTCCATATATGTCTGTACTTAACCTTCTGAGTCTTCCTTGATTCTTGCTGTGTTTCTTTTTGGTTATACTGGAATGCTTGGATACTCAAGAAAGCTCTAAATAGACTTTAAGTGGTCATGCTATGTAGCTTTATCTCAGACAGACATGCTAGCAGCTCAATGTTACTGAGTCTTCAAACATTTTGAGTTGTCTGCATAAGACTCATGAATGGTCTACAATGAGGGGAAAATAATCTATCTTCTAGTTTACAAAAACTGACTTTTCAAAGATCAGGTTATAATTATGGGATTGCTATATCATTTTGGATGCTTTCTGTTACTTGGATCCAACTGGTATCCAGACTGCAAAAACACAAGGAGGGAAGGAGCTCTGTAGATAAGGATGCAGCAATATTTGGTTCCTTTTGTACAGTTAAAAAAAGTGAGTTTGAACTATGTTTAAATTATCAACAGGTAAATCTGGTGTGATGCATTAGCTTTAGGGCTTGACAAAGTAATTAATGTTCTGCTAAATTTAATTCTGACTAGTTCAGACCTGGAATATGCAGGCTTCTTCCAAGGGAAAGTTTCACAATGTGTGTTTAATTTTGAAAGCAATAAAATTGTGTTGAAAATCAGTGGGGCATAGGTTACCGAGGCTACAGTTCTAAGCATATTTATTTGGAAGCCAATCAAATACAGCGAACAGGGTCTGGTTACAATATTGTGATATCCAGATCTACAGAACTAGTTGGAGGTACGTCATGCAGATCACACAGTCTTTTGGAAAATGTGTCCCATCTGTGTCTTAGGCCATTTCTGTCTGTCTGGCCTCATAAAGAACACCCAACAACTGGAAACTGGGGCTTCCTGATTGGAAATAAAAGCTTAGTTTGGCAACTTCTTAGTGGTGAGCTTCTGAATCATTCTGTTTTATGTGGAAATCCAAATGGTGCTGGTTTGTGGCTGCTGAAACTTTAGTTTGGAAAGAAATTAGTATTCCATGGTTACAGCCAAGATCAGAGATTCTGTTTTGGTTTGCGAACTGAAAAATTGTCATAAGCCTGGGGACCAAAGCAGTTGCAATACTTGTGGCAAAGATGAGAGCCACTTGATTAATAATGAGACCATGTCTTGTTTGATCTTTCTTGGTTTGTATGACACACAGATTCCCATTTTTGTTTGCTACAGGAAAAATAGCCTGCCAATGGTTACATAATTTTGTGGAAGGGAAATCCCCGAACATATCCCCCTGTTTCCCAGTCCAGCTTGACTCATGCTTAAAAATAGTATTTGTCTGACTTGATGCACACCAACATAGAAAGGATGCATATTCATGTGCCAATTCCACTGAAAACAAAATGAACTGCATTTAATGAAACAACACTAGTTCAAGGATACATCTAACAAGGCATATTTGGATTCACACCCACAGTTCCTTCTCTAGCAGTTAATATACATGCAAAAAAAGTTCGTCCGCACCCAAAGGAAATTGTGTTGGTCATAAAAAATCCATATCGCATAATATTAGACCAACTCAAATATCAGAAAAATGTGCATCTATTTATTGGGCAACCCTAAAAAAGCAGTTTGGCTGGGTGATGGGCAGTTGTGATAAGAGAAGAAAAAGGCTCACTTGATGCTGTAGGCAAAATGGGATGGAACGGTATACAAAAGTTTTAAATAAATAAATAAATAAATAAATATGCCTGCATGGTCAGAATTTCACAGATGAGTAGGGGTTTGTAAACATTCAAATAGTACTGTGCTTGGCAATGCAATGGTGTCAGGTTTCATTGTCCTACGATCACTGGGAAGAAGAAAGTAGCAAGCAGTTTTGAGCCCTTCACCTTAAAAAAAGAATCTTGCTGCTGACTGAAAATTGGCTCTATCCTGGGCAATATAGTTGGGTTATTTGGTTCACAGAGAACAGAAGGTCAGCTGGATCAGGATGGTGGGTTTTGACACAATTTTTCCCACCTTTATGGAGCTTGGAGAGTGGACTTCTAGCTCCATAAGCAACTCTGTGGTAGATGGAGGAAGGTGCAAAGTAACTTGTCCAATGGTTGATAAAGAGCTTCCAGTGGTAAGTCAGTTGTGCCCTTAGTTGAAGAAAGCTTGGCCATAATTACCCGTGTTCTGGAGACCTTTTGTTTACTGTCACAATATGTTATCTGTGGATCTGCTTTTAACAATGCTCTGGATGCAGTAGTTGGTCTGAAATAGGGATGCAAGTTTACTACATGGGACTAATTGAATATATTATGCTTGTATTTTGTTGAACAGGCTCCCAGGCTGTGTGTGGGCTCAATTTAAAGAACTGCTTTTTATCTTCTAAACCTCTAAGTGACTTGGTACCAGGTTACCTGAAAGACCACTTCTTCCATATGTACCAAGTATCCCCAGTAATGAAGTGAGCCAGGGAATCACTAGGGAGAGTGTCCTTTTGGTAGTTATGGAAATGGGCCTGGAGAGGTTTGCTTGGCACTTACCATATAGTCTTTTCAGTGCAAAGTCATCTTTTTATTTGCCTAGGTCTCTCGGCTTTAAAATCTGCATTTTAATGTTGGCATAGCTCTGTGTTTTGTCTTCTATTGTTTTTATGGTTTTTTGTTTTATTTAAAGTATATATATTACACTTGTTTACTCTAAGCCTCCCAGAGAATTTTATTTTATAGGGCAGTATGCACATGTATAAATAAATCTGGTTTATAGCTGCAGAAGAATGTGAACTTGGATTTCCCAAGCCCAACCTTGTATCAATAGAATTATAATTGGTGTTTAGATGTGCCCACCAGCAGGTATTTTCTTAGTTAAGTATAACAAGCAACTAGCACATGCAGAGTCTTATGGCTAAATCTAGTGCAACTCTCTTTCATGGAACAAAGAAGAATTACGTTCCTCTATATAAGATCAATCCAGTACATTTAATTGGCCATTTGGTGACGGATCTGTCCAGTCTGCTTGCCTAACAGTGAACCGAGAGCTCTGTTCAGTCTGCTAACATGAAGGCTGAAAGTGGGATGTTACCATATGCACAAGCATGTCCCCCAGGATCCCAGTCCTTAGGCCTCCAAGAGAAATCCAAAGAGGGTTTCTCTGCATGCTTGCCTGAAGTTGAGTAGGAGGTGCCTGTCATGCCTGAGCTTGAATTGCAGAGGGTTTTTTGAGCAAAGCAAGGTTCGGATGTGAAGGAGAGAACCAAGGGATGACCACAATCTTGGGATCAAGGCAGAAGTGGGAATCAAAAACATGGGAACTGGAGCTCATTAAGCCTAGAACTTCTGTTGTTCCAGCAGAGAACAGATTGCTGCTGAGGACTTACTGGTCTAGCCTTCAGAGTTGTGTCTAGATCCAGCTGCAATAGTTAACCCAGTCCTTCACGCTTCTTGCTCTTGTAGAGTCCAAATTCTTTGTGCCTTCAATCATGTGCTTTCCTGGCAGGTGGTGCTTCTCTGACTCCACAGACATGGTAGATTCATCAGGCATTCTGTCCACGGGGGGCTCACCATGGACTGCTTTTGCTGAAGGACTTGGTGTGGCCTCTTTGCGGGAGTGAAGAGTGTGTACAGGAATGCTAGAATTGTGGAGGTGGGGAGTCTGGAGGGGTTTCCAGACTCAGAACTTATACCAGAGGAAGAATCTTCCTGGCCTTGGGTGTAAGACCACTCCCTGATACTTCCTCAGGCTAAAAAAAAAAAAATCACCCCTGATTAAGCAAGTAGAAAGCTTCAGACCTTTCTCCTTAGTGTAGGGGCTGAGTGAGCAGGCATATTGGGGCAATGTGCCAGTATCACCATTTTATGTTCAACTCTCCCCTGACCAGGCTGAACACCTGCATATGGCTTTACCGTTAGTAAGCTTATGTTAAATCTAGAGTCTATTGACTTAAGCAGTGTGATGGAGTGGGTTGGGGCGCTTCTGTGCAAAAGAATTTCAATTTTTGAGCACTCCCCATGGTGCCTTCTGTGAATTACTCTGCTGATTGTATGTGCTTCACAAGAGTAGCCTGTCCCTTAAATGTTTGTTTATGTCTGTGTAACAATATAACATCTGAATGCCTTGTCTAGCCCTGTATATATTAGGGAAGACCCTGTATATACTTGCCCTGAAATCAACAATGAGAACAATATTAATTTCTCACATTCCAGCCTCTTGGGCTGATTCGCTATAATTGCTATTATTTCTTTCACCTCTTTTAGAGAGAGGGCTAGTATTTTTAGTTAAAGGCTCATGACATGCTGTGTGACTCTTGGAAGTTGCTTCTGTTTGATAAAAAGAGGCAGATGCCGCCTTTGCTTTCTACTGAAAAGCTAAACCATGGTTTCATGGTTTTCACATGATCTTGACCTGGTCACGTGGGTCCAACACTGGTTATTTCTGGGCACAAGCTCTCAATTTAGCCATAGATATTTTGAAGGAGTAATTAATATAAACTTAGGTACAGCTGCGAACTCTTCTCTGGTTTTACACAAGAATGTATTTAGATGGCTTACTTTATTAGGCAGTTTAATGATGAGGCTGAAATAGGACTACAAGTGACCTATTTCCTAAAAGATGGCTTTCTTTCTCTCCCCTGTTAGGAGAGAATCGCATCCATGTGCTATCAGAAATCTGGGATCACTTCTTCACAGAAACTCTTCCTACACTCCAGGCTATATTTTATCCTGTTCAGGTAAGTCAAGTTAAAATTTAAGTTTAGAAGGAATAAATAATGTGTTTATGCAAACACAGGAGCCATCCAAGCTGATCACAAATTGCTTCTTTAAAGTTGTTGCGACAGCCATGTCTTAAACCTTAAAGGAAAAATTAAACTATAAAACCACAGAGTTTACCAGATATTCTGCTAAACTTGTTTATCTAACAAATATGGATAGAGTAGGTTAGAGGGCAGGTGCAACTTGACATGGCTGCTAGAATTGAAAGAACACACTCTTTTGGGACCTTAAAGGTTAGCGGTATGTCTCTATGTGTGAGCCATAGTTTCTGCCAAAATATTCAATATACCTTTGGTGAATCCACAGTTGGAGGATATACTTTTATTGTTAAAAGCCCAAAGGATGTTATTTGAGGTGTATACAAATGAAATAATGTGTTTATGCATACACAGGAGCCTTTGTATGTATGTGGAAGCAGAGCAAGGATATGCTAACTCTCTTGAGTGAATCTTATAATATTTGCAAATAGTACACAACACTTATCCACCCCTACTCCATTCCAGTAAGTTATATCTGTATTCGAGAATACATAGAAACAGAGCGAGGAGGAACATGAGAACAGGAGTGCTTGATCAGGCCAAATACCTCTCTAGTCCAGGATTCTGTTTTCAGAGTGGTGAAAGAGAGGGAAGGACCTGCCTATTTCCTTAAATGTTTACCTATCTGATTGTAGAACTACAGTGGAAGTCTAAGCAACTACATCTATGTTGGCCTCTGATTTTGCTGGCTTCAGTAAAGGGCCAACAATTCTAAGAATTGTTTTTTTTTTTTTTGCTGACCAGGGTAATAATCCTAACTATTGTGTAACTTTCAGGGTTCATTCTGTGAAATTGTGGAAAAAATGTATGTACCATATATAGTGTTCACTACCGTCCATGATTTCAGGCATCCATGCCGGGGGGGGGGGGGGCTGGAATCTATCCCCCATGGATACAGGGCCTCTCTGTAATAATTTTCTTAAGGAGCTGAACAGCTTCACTTGTGAATCAAGGAAACAATCTTTTCTGGGCAGGCGACGTTAGTGGCAATACAAATTGCCTGCAGAATGGAATTCTTAAGAAGGTTATACACTTTTCTCTTTGCTTTTATATCAGCCCTTGGGAATCTAGTATTGGCTGCTTAATTTTTTTCTGTCCCATTCCAAAATGTCAATAGGTAAACCTCACTGTATCATACAAACCATTTTCCAGTTGGTGTTTCCCCAAAGGCCTGGAGGAATGGAAAAGATTATTCTTGCTACAGAAATACTAACTTTCCATGATGTATTTCTCTCTCTCCCTCACTCTTTCCCTCCCTTTCCCTGTCTCTTACCTATACTTGCAGCAGATGCCAGAAGGTATGTGTAGCAGTGCAGGCAGGTGAAATGCATGCATTTCAGATGACTTTACTTCCTTTCTTAGATATTAAATAATAGATACTGAAATTCTGGATATTAAGGACAATAAGATGCTTCCACATAATATAGAGGTGGGCAGCTAGGGTCATCTAGATGTTTTGGTCTGCAGCTTCCATCAGGCCTAGTTAATGGAATCAGTGATGAGAGATGATAAAAATTGTAGGCCAATAATGCATCTGGCGCTCCATAAGTTGCTTGTCTTTGCTATAAGGTATTTGTTTATTTATTTATTTATTAGAACATTTCTATGCCGCCCCTTGCCAAAGCCTCGGGGCGGCTTACAACACAATAAAATACAAAAATAACAATATAAAATTAAAATTAACAATATAAAATAAATAAAAAATATAAAAGATATAAAAGAAGTTATAAAAGAAAAGAAAAGAGATGGGAGTGCTAATTTCATAATAATTTAAATACCCCATATGGACATGCATGCTTGTATTGATAATTCTCAAATGGTTGATTGGTAAGATTTTAGAAATTATGCAGGTGAGACTCAGACAACCAAAAATGGGTGTTGGGAACAGAGCAAGATTGATGAAAGTTTACATTTCAGTTCAGAAAGTGGTTCTTTTTTGGGTTTTAATGGAACCTAGACCCACACCTAAGAATGGTCTAAAAATAATGCATTAGCATTTGTTTTGTTTCAGCTGCATCACACTGCTGCCATAGGTTCAGCTTGTCATTGACACAATCCAAAACTCATTTTCAAACGAGTTTGAAAATGAAAGGTATCCTAGAAAGGTATGGCAGGAAAGGCATCCTACATCTGTGCAGTGCTACAACCTCTTTCTGCAGATGGTAGCACTGCACAGATTATAGGATACCTTTCTATATCCTATAGAATAGGAAAGGAAAGGAATTGTGGAATTGCACTTGTGGAAAGGAATTGATGGGTCTGGCCACTCCTAGAACAGAAGCTATGATAGGCTCCACTGGTGGATGGATGGCATTGGCTACTGTATTTTGCATTGCTTCAGCTGAATTATTTGGGTTTTGACTAATTTCCATTCTTCCATAAGTTTTACATTTTATTTCAGTCTTCCAAGGGAATAGCTAGCGCCATCCCCCCCCCCCCCCAACCTGGACATCATCTTCAAATTCTGTAAGGATCCCTCTCATCCTTCATCAAACGGTACTTCCAGACAGTTCCTAGCGCTACCAGTCATAAGTAATTGTGCAGCTCTTCAGTCTTTTGATGCTTATTTGATTTTCTCTTGCAAGAGAAAAGATGGGAGAAGTGTTGGGAAAAGGAGACAGGGCAATTGCAGAGTAAAGCCTTGTTTGGAAGCACTTTGAAGTTGCAATCTTATGCATGTTTAGACAAAACAAATGCCCTACAAAACCCAGTATTCTCCAGTCAGGCATGCTAGCTGGAAATGCTTAAACTGTAGCTCTTTTTTGTTGTTTTGTTTTGTTTTGTTTAAACATGCATAGGGCTGCACCCTAAGACATTAATAAGCATGCTGAAGAGTGCTAGTTCATAGACAGAGCCATGGGGCATCCCATTGAAAACCACCGGGTTTGATGAGGAGCCAGTAATAGCTGAGAAATCTCTCTGATGAGAACATAATCTAGGTAGTTTAGGTAGTTTGCTAATGAAAATATAAAGTGAAACTTTATCAGATGCTTTGCTAAAATTTCAGTAAATCAGTGGAAGCTTCATAATAACATGCAGCCTGCCAAAATTTCACTGACATACTATTTTGTCAGTGCAATTTTGTGGCACGCTAGGCTTTTGTCCCTCTATTTCCTAAATAAAGAAAAGAAAGACCAATCAGTTTGTATGATTTAAGTTAACTATTTTGAATATTGGGGGAGCGGTTGAAAGAATGACATAATGAAAGAGAAAAGATATAAAATAGATTGTTTATCAATAACTCACATGTGCCGCATTCTAATGATTCCTAAATTGTAATCTGAAGTCCATGGAAGGGTGAGAGACTTTAGAAAACAGAAATTTGGGCAGCTGAAGTGGGGAATGTAGGAGAAAAAACCTTGCTGTACTGTTACAGTATCATTACAGGACTCTTGTTCATCTGCATTGAACCATAAAACTAGAGGGTAATTGGGTGATTAAATGCAAACCATAGCAGTGGACCCACATCTGCATCCTCTAGTGTACAAAAGATAAATGTACAATTCTATACCAATTTCTCCAGTCCCAAATGTCTGTGAGTGGAACTCCCATTAATTTAACAAGGTGTTCTTCACAAGTTACGAGGATAAGCATTTGATTTTCCTAAAACTACATAGCTGGTCAAGTAGACAATTTGGCATGAGATCATAGCCCAGTTTGTGCACAGAACCCATTTGTTTGTTTGTTTCAAATCCCAGGTTGTCATAAATGACCCAGCATGTTGTCACATGCTCCAGCCGGGTTCCTCCTACAAGCGGGAACAATTATCTTAGGTTTCCAGCTCTGACTTGTTGGGGGAAAGGCAAACCAAGTATGGCTAGCATGCTAACCTAGGAAGGAAGTATGCCTGGATTGTTTCAGGCAAGGGTGGCTGAACTGCAGTGACTTGCATGTTGCATGTATAATGTGTAAAATGGAATTTGCGTATAATTTAAAACTTGGGGAATTAACTTTTAAAAAAATGTGTCAGAAGGTAGTTCTGGTAGTTCAACTTAGTATATCAATGTCTTTGTTTGAATTGAGTTTCAAGAGGCTGTTTGTGTGTTTGGGGGGAAATAACAGTCATGACTGGGCTTTGATCCTTATTATGTGTCACAGAAGTTATTCTGGATTAGATAATGCTGTTTACAGAGCTGGTGGCACAACTTTACAAGCTTAGAAAGCTCTGAGGAAGCCCAAGCATGCAATCTGTATTTTGATAGGATTGTTTGTTTTGCTAAGTCAGTTCCTGAAGGAAAATGCTGGATGTTTGTAACATTGGATGATGTGAGGAACAAGAACCATAGATTATGAGGGAAATGGGTTCCCAACCCTGTGGTTTTCTTCAGAACATTAGCAAGAAGATTTAGAGGATCTGTGGTCAGGAGAATTGTACTTAACCCAACAATTATCTCTTACATGTTCCCTTCTACTCAAAGATTGCATTTTCCCATGCCTATCCACCAGCCAGGATACAAAATAGAAGTGAACACAATTTGGATAAAATGACTTTGGACACTAGGTGGGAATTGATGGGTGTAGGATGGATTAAGCTCCAATTTACCCTGCCTGATTTTTCCCAGCAGATGTCCACATATTTCTATTACCTCACAAATTTCTCGTCAAATGCATGTATTATTTTTTCAAATACTTTATGCTATTCCTCAGCCAAGAAGGCTACCAAAGCAGCTTACACAGAATCATTTAAACAACCAAAAAAAGATGCAACATGTGAGAAAAAAGGAATAGAGACAGAGAAAAATCAATTCTTTGAATAGGGCTGGTGGAACAGCTCTGCTCTCCATCAGCTCAGCCTACAGCAATTGCTTCTGGTGGTTCATGAGGAAGAATTTCAGAAGGGCTGGTGAGAGGGGCTTGTTTCCCCTTCTCCCTCAGCCTGGTCTGCTGGAATGACCACAGGAAGAGCCCTGCTGGATCAGACCAAGGGTCCATCTAGATCAGTGTTGTGTTCACATAGGGGTACTGACTCTGCTACAGGAGGCAGCCTGTAGCCAACGGGTCTTGTAGCCATTGATAGCCACCTGCTGGTGGTGACAGTGGAGGAAAAGGACCTTCAGGAGGAGATTTCAGCAATGCTGGAGGAATCTCTATGTTCACCCTCTCAGATGTCCCCCTTCAGTCCTGAGATAACGTCTTGTTCCTCCCCCATGATAGATTTCCCCCTGTACGTTATACAGGTGTTAACATTCTTTCTTTATTTGTATGTTTATGATTCTTTCTCTGGTCTAGTAGGTGTTGTGAACTGCCAAGACAGCTTTGGCCGTGGGCCGTATAGAAATGTAATTAATAATTATAATAATTCACAATGAAAAAACTTCAGACATGAAAAATATGTGAAAAGCAATCTGAAAACATTAAAAGCAGAAGTTTAGAGCAAGAAAGAACCTCAGTAACTATTCGGAGTGAGGCGATTTAAAATCCTATAAGGACCATATAGAACAAAACTTGTTAATAGGGAAGGGGCTTGCCTAACTTTCTTTGGGAGATAGTTCTACGAGGTGGTGCTTTCACAGAGAAGGACCTATCCCATATTCTCACCAGCCTAAGTTTTGTGGGTGTTAGTACATGAGGAACTTGACCCAGTGCTTTAAAGTCTGTGTCTTCCATTTTCTTAGCAGGAAGATTCCTGTGTTCTTTGTGCAAGTCCCCCGCACCCACCACCTTTCTCTGTGTTCTGTGTAGCAGTACACAGCACCACGTGCAATACACTTGGCTTCTGTAGCAAGTAATGGCGTCACGTTGGATAATGCCTGGGTTTCCTTGCTGGACAAAATGCTATGAACATGTCAGGAAAACATGGAAGAAGCCCCGTGGAAAAGGCTTGCAACCTGTCATGAGTGAGGAATCACAAGTGCATAATAAGTGCTTCATGGAGAGAAGCCCTTGATAGTATGGCACATGAAAGACTATCCAAAGATCTTAAACTGTGGACATATGGGAGGAAGTAGCCTTGGATTGGGCTGGAAACTAACAGGCAGTTGACACAAGACTGGCCAAGAAAGCACACATCAGAGAGCAAACTGGTTGCTACAGTTTGCACTTGCTTCAGTTTCTGAATAATCTAGTAATTCTGTGAGTTAAAGTGATTGAGCTGGATCGAGATCATACATTGACACAGCTGATGCCGTGGCCCTCTGGGAATTCCATCCCATACTTTCTACAGAACTGGCCTGACTCCTTCCTGTCCCCACACCAACACCTTCTGAAGTGTAAACTAGGGCAAAACATTTTTTGTAAGAGCAAAAGGTGCATCTGAGTCATTAGCTTATGTTCTTATTTTGCATTTTGATGAACTTTTCAGGTGTATCATTAACTCCATTATGAATTGATGATTAACAAACATAGATTCCCTCTAGGGAGAGATTTGCTTTGTTTGTTATAGATTGGCAAGCTATACCATAACTCCCATGGAGAGTATAGGGCATAGTTTAGCTTTGCTAGGAGAAAAGGAGTAGGAAGCAAGTAGGAAGGGATTTTGAACTGCTTAATCTTGGCATCAGCTTGATTAATGGAGTAGCAAATAACACTGCTGTTAAGCTATAAGAATGGGTACTGAAATACTAGATCTATTGCAAAGGTGGTGGGTTTTTTTAATATAATGAAACATCTGGTCTTTTTAATAGCCTTAAAAATCTGTAAATTGAACACAGAGGCTGAAGTAAGAAACTTGGCATGGATTTTGGTAAAGCTCAGGTCTCTTTTGTGAATGTTTTGTTGAAATATTTGGAAGTGTACCACCTATGGCATGCTTTTCCATGTCAGGAGCATTCCTGCTCCCACATTATTAGCACTAATTGTTTGCTATAAGTATCTCTCTACTTGCATTCTTGTGGCCAGGTGTACAGTTCCTCAAGAGGATCAGACATACTTCTTTTTATTTCTAACCACTTCTATTCCACCTTATGTTCCTGCTTACTCCCTCATTCTCCAGTTATTCTGTGATAACATTTGACCCCACTGATTGCTTGCAATTATCGTTAAGTTTGTGGTAGTTAGCAAATACAGTTGAATGCATCTTTGTGGCAATGGGTGATCCTTTTCTACTATTTCTCTCCCTGTGTATTTATGTACAGGGTCAAGAACTGACCATCCGCCAGATCGCCTTGCTTGGCTTCCGAGACTTGGTCTTGCTAAGAGTCAAGCTGGATGAGATCCTTCCTCAGTTCCAAAGCAGCATCCCACCTTCTATTGTCCAGATGCTACTGATTTTACAAGTGAGGAATGGTTTCTTCTTCTTTTACGTGCTTTGCTTAGAGGACTAATGGACAAGTGGTGAGGGAGTTCTGGAAAGCCTTCTTATTTGTGCGTTCTAGAAAGATGTAACCAAGTAATTGTCATGCATGTTATATTAACGAAGTTTTATTTGGCTCCCAAACAGTTTATCCAAAAAGCTCCTGTTGACAAAATTTTGTTCACAAAGATTGTATTCTCTAAATTATAATATATGCAACTATCATAGACTACTTAAGAGCTTTCCTTTTTATAGGATAAAATTTTATTGCAGATACTTTTTCATGCCACTGACTCCTGAATGCTCATGCTACAATATATTTGTTCAAATTTAAGGTACTGCAGGGCTCTTTCTTGAATTTTGCATTTTCTTTGCTTCCTTTTATCTCTGTGGATAGTCTGATCATGTGACCTATTTTGTGTTCTTTTAGTAGGAGAACTATCTTTATCCACTTATTCCTAAGTTTATAAGTAGCAATTCCAGTACTGTAGGCTCATGGCTACCATAGTAGCATGGATCACAGGGAAAGGGCTAGTAAGAAATGAAGACACAGAAACAGATGGGTTAAGTGGATTGGCCACAATGTACTGTTGGTTGTGGGCTAATATATTTGGTGGGGCAAGGGGCATGGACCACGTCACTGGCTGAGGATACCCCTAAGTATGGCCTGCATGCTGGGCACATATCAGAGAGTGGTAGGACTCTGGGGCTCACTATATCTGAAACTGCTAATATGAACTCTTCCTGTACCCTGGTGGTGAGTGACTGGCTTGCCTGCCCCTAAGCTGGGTGGGTCTTGAGTCCACAGTCCTAAAATATCAGATGGGGATCCCTCATCATACAGAGTGGGAGGCCAATCTTGCTTTCCGCTAAAATAAATCCAACCCAGAGCCTCTCAGATCTTACCAATGTTGTTACTTGAACAGAAAAGAAAAGGCTCTCCTCCCCTGTTATAAATGCAACATGCAATCCAATTACACTAAGATAAAATAGCAACAGTCTTACTGTGGGGACCCTGAACCTCCTGCATCTCCTTGCTACGTGTGCATACAAGTAAAATTCCATCCCAGCTGAATCCATGACGGGGTGGTGGGAAAGCCAGTGTTAGCAATGGCTTAGTCCTGAACATATAGTCTCTCTCTGGTTCACTCTGAAGACCACCCCTCACCAGTGTTCCGCTGGCCAAGCCCAAGCCAGGCTCCTGGAGGCTTCACAGTGCTGCAGCTGCATCTCCTTTTTTCTGTTCACCTCAACAAGGAAGTGGTGGGGCAGGGCGGGCAGGCAGGAATTGCTTTATCCCATCTGGTAAAATCTGCTGGAAAGAAACCTAGCCTCATTCTACTTCTCTTGCCATTTGAGTCTCTTCTTTAATTGAACTGCCCTGGAGCCAATTACCATAGGATCAGTCCAGTCATCCCATCATCTTGCTTGATTGCCTGATTAGGTCACATCTGCAAACTTGGGTCAATTGGGTAACATACTGGAACATTCTCAATAGTGGGTCCTTTTATGGGGCACTTTTGGTAGAACAGTTTACCTTCATATCAAGCCATAGGGTGGCTGAAAAGAGGTATAAAATATTTTCGTGTTTTAGGCGTTAGAATGGCTGCTTCAGGTTCTAGTTTGCTCTTCTCTGGCGCTTCTGAAACTGTCATGGAGATTTAGTGACTGATAACAGTCATGTATATGGTATGCTTTCAGTGTTTGTAATATTTTTTATTTCACTGTTAAACTACCCCAGAAACAGAATCATCATTTAAATAGAGTAACTAGTGGGGGAATATGTGATTGTTCAGTTCCAGTCATGGAGCGGAGTTGGAGTTTACTGACTGATATGTTTGGATTTCTAGTAAGGGGCTTTTCTAATCCCTTCAACCTAGTAATACAGAATTCTGCACATTCCAGCTGGTGAGTCAGAAAACATCCTCTGTAACTGAACTTGAACATGCTGAAATTGACAGGATTGGAGCTCAGATGGGAGCCCTGGGAGCAAGCTGCTGTGCATGATATCCATGGGAAATGCCTAGTACATAAAAAGAGCTAAGCCAGATCAGACCAAGGGTCCATCTGGTCTTCCCTCCCACTCATGTTCCCCAGCACTGGTGTATATAGGCAGGCTACCCCTGATTTTGGAGGATGTGTATAGCCATCAGCTAATAGCCATTGAAAGCTTTCTCCTCCATGAATTTATTTAATCACCTTTTCCAGCCTTCCAAATTGGTGGTCATTGCTGAATTCCATTGCTGAATTATGCACTGTGTAAAAAAGCATTTCCTCTAATCAGTCTGGAATCTCCTGCCAGTCAGCTTCGTGGGATGATCCCGGGTTCTAATATTATGAGCAAAAGAGAAAAATGAAGTTTTTGCCAATATAAAAAGCCCCTTAGTGTAAGGTGACACACTTGCAGACTATCCGGAAAGGACTGACCATGCTTAGGAGCCACAGAATGCTGAATGTCAGTCGTAAAATGAAGAGTACAAGGGGAAATCTGAAGGAGGAGAAGGTGAGAATGTCCTGTCTAAAGCTTTCTTGAGGTTGGGTGGAACCCTGAATGTGGCCAGCTGCACTTCCTTTTTTTCTTTATTCACACTGGTTTTTAAAAACCAAAGTGGTGTATTTTTCTGAATCAGTAAAGATGTGTATCTGAATTATTGTTTAAAATGTGTGTGTATTTTTTATTTTTTGTGTTAAAGGGAGTCCATGAGCCTACAGGTCCCAGCAAGGCCTTCATGCAACTGGAAGAGCTTGTTAAACTGGTGGTTTCCCCATATCTTGGTTTGTGTGAAGAGCACTGTTTTCCTGGCAGTACCTGTGCCCTAGGTAAGATGCACTGTGTTGAAATGTGTCAGTTCCTGGGCTGTTTGTCTGTTCAGTGAGACTTGGCAAATCATGTGAGACTGATAATATAAATGCAAGACAGACATATAATTATTTTCAGTTTCGTTGCTGTTTATAAAAGAAGCAATCAGTATCCAAAGTGTGCATTCTCGTCCCAGTTATGCCTTTAGGTCGTTGTAACTCAGAATTGAGCTTGAGCAGTTGAGCAAAGAAAAGGCATGTATATAAACAGTGGTGCTTCTATCATACCTCGGGTAGCTGTTAAAAGCCTCTGTCTTTCTGTACACCCAGAATATCTAATCATTATGTATCTTCGTGCAGGCGATTGACAATTTGCATCACCCTGGAGTCAGTACTGATCAGTGTAGCCTAAAACAGAATTTGGCTGCATGGAAAAAACTTGTGCTTCTTTTTCTCAAGCCGCCTTGAGTAACCGTGAGACTTTCACTCTTTGCAAGCTGTTTGTGTAGTTGGTTAAGATTTAATTAAAACAACTAGCCAAAAACCTCTCACTAAGTACCAGTCATTCTTAGAGTCTGAACTGTATTTAGCAGTTCTTCTGCCTTTGGCCTTTAAGGGAACTTTCCAGTGTTCATCGTCTGGTCTCTTGTTGGAAGTGCACGCCTCTGGTTTACACAGTGTCATTGGCTATGTATTGTCCAGTGATCCACTTGATCGCTGGGGGAGCTGAAATGGTAGTCAGTTTGAAAACATGGACTTCATTCCAGTTGTGATCTGTGATCTCCACGGACTGCTTGTCCCAGGACTTTGTTCTATGCTGTGCGAAAAGAAATGATATTAATGTCAGTAGAATTAAATAAATGGCATATTTAGTTAAGAAGTGGTAAATTGGCAGCCCTCTAGATGCTGCTGGATTCCACCTTTCAGGGGCCATGCAGCTGCTTAATCTAATTGAATCTAATACATATACATTTATTATTGCATTTATATTCCACCTTTTTTCCTTTGTGCAAATTATCTCAGATTCCTGCAAATCTTCCTCCTCTTTTCCATTTTAGCCTCAGAACAACCTGTGAGGTGGTTAAAAAGTGAGTCAGACTGGCCTGAGTTCACCCATTGAGCTTCCTGGCTAAGAGAGGACTAGAACTCGGGTCTCCCCAACCCAGCACTTGAGCTGCTTCATCGCATTGGCTCTACAGGTGTAGTTCGTTGCACTTTGTTGCTTCCAGCTCCACCAGTCTTAAACCACGTTGTCTTGGTCATTCTTCATTTCTCTGCCTACCTCTTAAGTCTTACATAAAAGTGAAGCACATTATGCAGATTTTTTCACATCCACGGTTACATCTTTGCATTGGTCCTGGCATGTATTGCTTTAGCTGGCATGCTAATCCTGTTCGTGTCCAAGTGGAATAGAATGCCGCCTGTGAGTTGAGCAGAAGCCTAAGTTTCTTACATCCTTACATCTCAATCCTGCTTATTGGAAATGAGTCCCTCTGGGTCCAAGAAGGCCTCTTCATTGGCGTGCTGTGGGCATCTGCCCTACTGTTGCCTTTCAGATCCAGTCAAAAACTTGTTTTACTTTAAAGGAAATCCCACTGAATTTGGAGGGATTAGCTTTTCAATAGTCGTGGTTATGATAGCAGCTGCTGATATACCAGTGTTCCCTGTGGGTTCTGCCTTACCTAATCTTTATTAGGTTTGGAGACCTAGGCTGATCTCCAAAAATTCTCTGTGTCTTTAGAAAGCTACCTTTCTGGGGCTTGCTGTCTAACTGCTAGGAAAGCAAAAATGTTGGTAACGCCATATCTGATTGCTGTGCACAATCTGAGCAGCTGTAAATGCATGTCTTCAGTAAACTTGGTGTACCTCTCCCAATGCAAATATAATCATTGCATAGCTTGCTCTTCACAGCTAATAAAATCATGACCCTTCGCTCTCAGAAGGGATATAAGATAAAGTGTACTGGGACTCGGCTGTTGCTGAAATCATTTGTTTGAAAGGTACCCATGTGACTCTTGTGAAACCTCCCGTTGTCCTCTTGTCTGCCCATAAAACAAAAGGTTGCTGTCATAAAGCGCAGTTTTATGTACTCCATGGCCTTGAACAAATTATGGATTCAACCACATTTGCCTTGCATGCAGAAGGCCTTTTTCCCTCATCAGCATATAGGCAAAAATTCTTGGCACCGTGTCACTCAAAGGCAGCTGTGGGGGTGCACTTGGAACGCTGGTAGTATACTAGAGATGGCCTGAAACGAGCCGTTTGGACAACCCACTGCACAGACAGAATCCAGTAGCTCTTTATTACATGACTTTATTTAATTTATTTATCTTTATAACATCTGTGCAGAAGTAAGTCCCACTGAATTCATGGCTGGGACATGAGTCCCATTACTCATTTATCTGGGATAAATCCCATTGAAATCAGCAGGGCTTACTTCTGAGTAGACATGTCTAGCCTTCACTGCAAATTAGAGTGTCAATCCACCCTTTCTGTTTTCATCATGTAGTCTGTTAATTCCAGAGCATTCTTGAAAGGTAATAAGTAGCTTGAGAGAATGACAAATGTTATTTGACAGCAAAGTATTTAGTTTTTAAAATCATAGGCACTTTCTCCATGTTTGTGTTTGGGAGAATGAGTGAAAGTTATTTTAGTGATCTACTCTCCCAATTCTAAGTCTTGCAAATTCCTTATTTGTCCAGTTCTTATAAAGGCTGATTGAACAATCAATATTTAGTCTCTCTCTGTTTCTGTACACACACATTGATTAGTTCCAAGATTTCATGAGGAAAAACCTTGATGATTTGATGCAGGTATTTGCTATGCAGCATTGTGGGGAATAGCTTGTGTGTCTCCGTAGGATAGGTTAGATAAAGCAGGTTTCAAGCCAGGAAGAGAGATCCAAATGGCATGGGGACACTGGCTATGAACTGCTATAATCCAAAAGAATGTAGAAGGGTGATGATGGGGAAAATATATGCTATGGCAATATCTTGAAATAGCAGAGATTAATCTTCGGTAGCCTCCTGCCTCTCTGATTCAGAGTAAGACCAGCCAAAATGGTTTAACCTGAACATTTTCTGCTGGTCATTAGAAATGAACCTGATTTTGTGCTATTCCAAGATATTCCTTTTTATTTAAGCGGCATTTTAACTGTTAGTATTATTTGATCTTATCTGGCCAGGGCGGCTTATTTTGTATTGTATTTTTTGGATTTTTAATGTTTATATTTATTGTAATTTATATTATAATTACTTTTATTTATTGTTGTGAGCCGCCCCGAGGCTTCGGCGAATGGGGCGGCATAAAAATGTTTTAATAAATAAATAAATAAAAATAAAATGTCACTGGAAGTATGATGGTCTTAGAGACCTCTCCCTTACCACAACCTCTCACACCCCAAGGCATAGTGATGTAATTGGTTACTATTGAACTTTATTCTGGCAGCTTCTTAGAAGAGTGGGAAGCCTGGGAATGCTTTAACTTTGGGTTCCAGGCATAACTTGACAATACTGCCTACATGCACCACCTGGGCCCAGTGGTAACCCCTGTGTCTTTGGGAAAGGGAATGGAAGCCTCAGAAGAGGACAACTTTTGATTTGTCTTTGATTACGGATTAGGAAATATTTATTCCTGCTGCATTCAAATTTCATGTGCCCTGTTGCTAAGCAGTTGACATTTTTGTGAGGTGAAGATGGATGGATGATAATTAAGTATAATGATTGTAAGGGTTTCATGGGAGAAAGGGTGGTTTCTGGGATGCGAGTAATAGCATAGTTAGAACTGAGAAGGCCTTGTGTCTTTTTCTTTCTAAACAGAAACATAGCAAGGCATCTTGCAAATAATGGCTACCAGATTTTATTTTATTGTTGCCTCACCCTAAAATCACCCTAAAATAACATTGGCAACTTTCTCTGGCTTACACCTGTATTATCTGTGAAGTGATCAAAGGCTAAATGAGGCAGGGAAGCTTGAGTTTTGCAGCTCTGGTCTGCAGTTAAAATGTGCGGGTGAAAAAAGGTGATGCATTGAGGACTGGTTGTAATAGTGGTATAGAATAATACTGAACTTTTGTTCGAAGTTGACGTGAAAGAGGAGCTTGAGAAAGACATCTCCCCAACTTTGCTGGCCTTTTAGGGCCAAATTAGGCACTGCGTGATGGTGGTGACGGTTCCTGCAACTGACTTGCATCTTACTTCCCCAGCCCGCCCCACATCTCCCTGGGATGTTTTCTCAAGGAAAACATGATGGGACTTCATTGTGTTCACCATTTCCAATGCACTGCAATAACTCACAAATTGGACTAGGGGTGTGGAACGGATAACGGCGATGACCTGTCATTCTTTTTCTAGATGTTACTGAAGGGGACTTGCAGAGCGAGACTGTTTTAGGTTCTTTAGTATCCCTTTGACTCCAGCATCCCGGCTAGCAGAATTAAACCATATCTCCACCTACTGGCAGTTTGAAGGAAAAATACCAAGCATGTTTTAGTGCATGTAAATATTAAATAGCTCAATGCACTTGACATGCAGGTGTCAGAAGCTTCTGCTGCTATGCAAATAATTCCACATGAATTCCAATAATTCCTGAATGAGCAAGCTGTTCCCACGGAGGCAGGGGCAAGCTGCAAGCATCGCATGGATTGTGTTTGCTTGAATCTCAGTACTTGGAAGGAGGAAAGATTTGCCTGAAGGTCACACTGTTCTATCTTTAGGCTTTTTCCAGCAACTTCTAAGGACTATGCTGAGGAAACCTCTGGTTTATAGCACATAAGGGATGGGGTGGGGAGGCAACTGTGGATGCTTAAGACCTTGATGTCTACCCATTCTATCCCTGGGGAGCATCTCTAGAGTTTGTATTTGCCACATTTTGAATAGAAAGTTTCATTCCTCTGTTCTTCAGCTCTAGCATTGATTTAGTTTTCCCCTCCCTCTAGCTTTTTCTTGCAGTTTTCCTGGCATTCAGTTAGAACCTGCTGACTGTAATAGTAATTATTAAATTATTAATGGGTAATTAATAGT